GATTCTATGATTCTATGATTCTATGATTATGATACTCAATACAGAAATGGAAGAAGCAGGGAGTTCAGGTGGCTGGAAAAACTCAACAGCTTCTAACCCCTCCCAGGAAACTCCTCCAGATTTTGGTCTGTTGTACTTTCAAATATTTCAAAGATGTTACAAAAAGGGTCTTAACTAAATCATACACAAATTCCAGTAGAATCTCTACAAAAGCAATTTAGAAGACTATTCCACTGCTATAAGCAATAATGGTATTTGGCATTCACATAGGACCTCTCAGCAAGTATTACAACTGACACGTTAAGAATAAATATATTTTACAGATGGGGGAATTTGAGCATACTGATTAATAGGAACTTCTCAAATGCTACAAACTATTTAACAGTATCATTAAAAAAATAATGTAATTATGCTTTAGATTTCTTGATAGGCCTATAGTGGTCTCCCCTAAAAGGCTATAACATCACCCACAAAATGTACAAATGAAGGAGAATGCAGCAGAGTTATAAATTCTAAAAGCTCCCCTTCAGCCACAGCCTCCCACAAACATTTTTGCAATTTCCTTTTACTTTTCAGCAGACAATACTAAATGTATGAGACAAGGATTACTTTGCACTCAGCACAAGATAACCTTTTCCAACACATATTTCCAACATACTGTATTTCAGTACAGCAAAGACTTTTTTACAAACAAATGAATGCCCTGTTATAAAGGACAATTGTATGGAAGAAGTGCTCATTTTCATGAATGCATCACAATAAACTGTCCTCACCATTTGTTCCACCCACTAAATATAAATGCAAAAAGAACACAGTCCCCAAGCGTAACACAAGTAGTATGATGAATCCGATTTTGATGCCTGTATGTGTACTCTTTTCTTTAATCAATACAGAATATACTTCCCCATCTTCTAAGTGACTCCAAATTGGAGCAACATTTTCCTCAGCTAACACTTCATATCTGATGGAAAGACATACACATAAGAGATGATCCAAACTAAAACAAGATATATGACTGCAGAGTCAGTTACATCCTTCAGTGGCAGATATTTCAGTAGTGTGAAAAGCCCAAGACTATATCAGAAAGTCAAACCTAATTCTGTGTGCCTGGGTCACACATTTTCATTTCATATTTGACCTGCTACTGCATACAGGCTACTATGGAGGTTTCATCAACTTGTGGAAGAAATATGTATATTATTCCTAGGATGACAGTCCAGTAGCTCACTGTGGATGCCTAGCATAGCTGTACTTTAAAAAACCAAAATCTGTTCAGAAGAACAACAAATTCTCTCTCCTGCACCCTTCCTATGGCTAATTTAGGACTTTTACTGTAGGTCTCAAAGTTTGTAATCAGATTTAGCAAAGCATTTGGGAGTAGCATGGAAAGTAGTACTGTGGAATATGACAAGAGTATGCATAGCTAATCATAACTCTGAGTTTATGACAAAACATATGCCAATGTTTTTTAAGTTGTTTTCCACAGACAAAGACATTTTGAATCCTTATGTAGCTGCTACCACAGTTTGGGAGGATCACTGCCCAGATCAGAAATAGAACCTCAAAGATGAGAGAGAAACTCAAGCTTGCAGCCTTGGAAAAGAAGAGATTAATCTCCAACGTAGAGAATTAACTATGAAAAGGATGGGAGCACCATGGTTCTACATTAAAGTATAAAAATCAAAACAGGAAAAGGATAAAAATCACATAATTGGCAGAATCAGTTAACTAAAAGGGGAAAATCTCACCATATTTAACGGGAGCTCAGAAAATCTACCAAACACAAGATGCAATGAATGTTGGGCAGACCAGCACAGTTTCAGATAATCAAACAATGTCTGGAACTGAATTGTGCACTATATAGGACACTGGATCTATTCTCAAAGATGCTCAACAACTGTTCTATTAGTATCGTAAGAAATACTATGTCATAAGAGAAACATTTCAGCAGGTACAAGAACAGAAACCCTTAAACCTTACACAAAGTTCCCTGCATTCCAAGTGTGGTATCCCAAAAGGCCAGAGAATTTTTTTCTGAAATGCACAAACAAATCTAATGAATTCACTCTACATTTGGTATCATCGGTCAACAGTTGATGAGATATCAGGAGATGGGGAGAAATGTTTACATCAAATTATGTATATCAGTCTTAAATGTAGAGAAAAATTACAGGAAATCATCTAAAAATGAAGCTATTTTTGCATAGCGAAAGTTGTAATACTGACCAAGTATTTTTGGTTTTGAATAATGCCATTTGATCAACACAGAGAACTAGTTATCCATCTGAGACTGATGAATAATCTGCAGAAAGATCATATATGAAACCAAAGTACACTTTCATGGGAGGCTGTGATACAATAAGGTTTGCAGGAAACAGTTTGCCAGGAACTGGTAATAGAATATTCTAACAATCAACCTATGATATTTAAGAAGTAAAGTACCTTCAAGCTACTTTACAGAATCATTACATAGAAAAATGGCTAGGCTGGATTATTAGTAAAGAAGAATGTTGTTATCACCATACAGACATTAAATAATTTTTAGGATGATCCAGCCACTACAAAAAGCTTGTTTGCTAAATTTTCCAATATGGCCACATTGCAAAATACTTCTCTAAATGATTCAGCAGTCTGCTGAATGCAAAAGGTCCTTTGTAAAGATAAAGAAACAGTTATGTAATTATTCTACTTTAGCCGAGACAAGAGTCTTAGTGAACACTACATTTTCTGCTCCTTAGGGAACATTTCCAATTATATTTCAAGCAGAGCAGGAAAATCTGCCTATCACATGGAGCTACTGAGAATTTACTCTTAGCATCTCTTCAGAGAAAATTCTTCATTAATTACAGATCATCATCCATGAATCTTGCTAAAAAACACAGAAAATAAAACCAGAAACTGTATCTACCACCTCAAGAGATGTAGCTTCCAAATAATTAAGGATCCAACTGAAGAAACACATCAACCAAAGAAAGAGAATCAACCAAAATTGATATGCCAAATCTCTGTATGACATGGAATAATGCAAATGAAGAAAAGAGGGTTAACTTCTAATAGGGCAGGTATGTAAGCACATATGCTATTATCTTTGGGAATAAATGCATATTAGACTACAAGCAAATTCACCAGGAAGAAAGAATATTTGCTACAGCCCACCCCCATCCCCCCAAAAAATCATAATGCAACAATCAGAAGCTAATTGCTAAATGACCTCTCTGCCTGCAGTTGCTTAGGTGTCTCAAACTTTAAAAAAAACAACTACAGAAAAGCATTCTAGGGGGAGGGGAAACTGCCCATGGTTTTTCCAGGTAGCCAGAAAGACAAATGCCTTATTGAGAAAGGGTCAGCTGCTGAGTTTGAAAAAGGGACAGATAAACCAGAAAAATTAAAACTTTTAAAGAGAACACAAAGTTTAGAAAAATATCAGTATTACAATAACAAGATATTTATTTCACTCCTACTCACCTAAACCAGATTTTTTTAACCTCTTTAAGTGCTGGCTTGTTTGTTTTCCAGTTGGAGACTTTTGCCCATGTTTCATCTCTTTATCAGAACCATCTGCTTCACCATTTTTAGATTCAGATCCTTAGGAAAAAAATAAAAAAAACCCAAACATGATACTGATGCACTTGTACCAACAATCCCCCCAGCACCCCCTACACTCTAAATAAAACAAAAATAGGATTTAAAAAAAAAAATTGACATCTACTTGCTGAAAGGCAATACACCTTTCTGGTCACAACACGATTCCTCATCATCAGAGGAAATGGAAGTAAAAGCTCAATAAATCAATTAAGTGCTGAAAACTAAAGTTTACTGAACACTGTAGTCAATAAAAATGTTCACTGATCTAACAAAAATAATGTTTTCCTACAATGCCCAAGAGATATCTTCAAAAATATTTTAACCTCAAGTTACGGTGCAGTAAAGCAATCTAAAGGCAAAAAAAGATCATTTCTTTGTGAAGAAACATTAATAGAAGAGATATGCCTGGAAATACAATTGTCAATTTGTGTTAAACATAGACATAGAAATCCCTTACAATGAAGTAACTTAACCACCAGAACTAAAGGTCAAGGTTATGCTGCAGTGATAAGCATGGTACCAGAAGAAGAAACGCTAACAAAAGGATCCGAGTATTGCAATGCAGAATTGAGACACAAACTCACATTCACAGAGAAGCCTGCCTTTTTTCCCCCCCTCCCCTTTTTATGACATTGAATACCAGCATGAGGTCCTCCATTAGAGTTCCAGAGCCAAACAAAATGTTACTTTGCATTCCTTTAAAGCTGCTGCTATTACCAATTGTCATTTTACTGTGTGCCTTCAGTTCTTTATTAAAGAAAAATCTCCATCCTTGAGACACCAGATTTGATAAGGAAATAAAGACGTTAAACAAAGCCACCAAGTGGAAATATTATTTCAGCAGTTCCAAATTTTGTATGCTACACAGCTGATTCAGAGGAAGGCTCTGTGACTAGAGCTGATCTTGCAAACGGTCCTTTAGCTATTTACCTGAAGGTGAATCCGACTGCTCATCAGACACCTTTAATGGTGTCAAAACAACACGAGGAACAGTCTTGTTTACCATCATTGAGACTCCATTTCTTCTTTTCTGCTGTTGTCTTAAAGCCTACAAAAATGATAACAAAACACAAAAATGTAACAAAAAATAATGCTTATAAGTGAATTACATGAGACATTTCTCTACCATTAAACTGAATCTCTTAAAATAAGCATAATTTACATAGCTACTGACTTGCCAGACTTCACACTCGTCCCCTTTATGTCATTTTCCTTTAAAATATAAAATCAGGCTTTTGGCTATAAAGAGAAAGAAGATGCACCTCAGATCATTTTCCAATACAGTTTTGACAACAAAGAAGCACGTAACTGTTTGCTCTACCTTAACAGCACAACATGATAACCCATGGAATGTGAAACTAAGACTTCCAAGTAAAAAAAATGTAAAATAAATGTTTCAAAACCAGGATAAAAATATATATGCCTGCACATCTCTCGCAGGTGCATCCTCTCCAGTATACTGCTCAGTCAATCAAGTTAACACAGAGTGTCATCAGTATGTACAGCATGTAAGGACTACAGTATTGATGCACTCACTCAGCCGTGAGTAGTGCTGCACAAAATCACTGAACATGGCAGGAATCATTTATTTTTGTGAAGGGAATCAGTCCTAATCTTGGAAACCTTGCAGCACTTGGCTTCTGTCTGCTTGACTTTGGGCATTAACCTTCAGAACACGAACATGATGGTGTTCTGGCAAATCTGGGGAAAAATGATACAAGAATAAATCTCTACGAATGGGAGTGCTTTGTGTTTCATAAATGGATCGAATACAGGGTTGATAATGTAATACAAAATATTGAAAGATTAGAAATAGCAAATACCCATCAGACTGTTTTATACGGAAAATTATATCTGATTCAAAAGATCTTAAAACATACAAGTATGAATGCTTGCCAATTAATACATTTGCAAACATTAAAATTCTGGAATTGAATAGAATGGGCTGGGCTTAATACATATCTCTCCCCTCCTGCCTATTTTTCTCCAATCTTACTGTGGAGTCTTTTTATAACTGTGATTTGTGTTATGATCTTGGGGGGATTTATTAAAGTAATACTATATCAACAAGGAACATATTTGAGATGAATTATCCCTGTAGGTTTATGAGCATGAATGACTGATGCCTTTATAAGTTTTAATTGAAGTAACTTCAATTAATCTGTAGTATTTTTCCAAAATGTTCACATAGATAAATAAAGAAAAAAAAACTGAAAAGAAAAAATCGATATCACTCTGTTCCTCTAAATAACACACTACACAACATAAAATACACCAAGCCACACAAAAGCTATTTCATCGATTAACCCCTTTTACAGTAGATTTCTTATAAAAGACACATAAGCACTGTGCAATAAAAAGCAAATTAGAACACCTGAAATCAAACAAAGAGAGGAAGCTGGTCAGATCTGCACTGAACCAAAGAAGCAAGCAGAAAGCCACAAAGAACAGCCTATACTTCATACATTTTTGAGACAGAAAATTCATACTGGTATTGAGCAAGCACAGCCAGACTTGTGGACAGAAAATTCCAAAATGTTAACGTTTCTCAAAAATTCCCCAAAATTCCAAAAATGATCCACAGTGCAAAGTCCTGCCAAGCTAAGTGTCAAATCAGGTGGCCCTTATTTAATAGTAATACCACTGAGACAGTAACAAATTGTCCACTAAAAATTAACTGAAAAGACAGACAACTTCTGCACTAACAGCATACCAATATAACCAGAACGCAGACATTGCATTGTTGTGCTCCACAGCCTGATTTGCCTAATGAAGAGCCCGAAATAGCCATCCTCAGTGTCATCTTCCCTAGACTAATAAGAGCCCAAACGATGCCCCATGCTCTCCTCCAGTCTCCTCCTAACCTTTCAAGACAATTTGCACCTCTACCAGGGACTGTAGCCTTGTTGCCAGCATCCATAAGGAAATACCATTTTAATGATTTATACAGCAACCATGACAAAGGTAGACTCTTTGTAAAGCCTCACAGTTGATTTTCAATGCTTCAGACTGAACTCCCAGAAATGAGAGAAAGTAAGCAGCAGTGTATCCTCCATCAATGACAGGTAGTTGGCGTTCGTACACCTTAGATGACACACGCGCTGCTGGAGCGAGGGCAGCGGTACCCCATCTTTGTCAGGCGCACCACTTACCTTCTTTAGTGTTACAGGAAGGCCACTTGCGAACCTTAAGCACACATTTATGCCACTGATCTGGCACTTCCAAGAAGCACAGGCCACTCCACGCTCACAGAGCACTAAGGCAAGACAGCATGGCTCATCCCCGCACTCCCCGGACACTCAGAGCCACAAGAGTGGGTGTCCTGGTTTTGGCTGGGATGGAGTTAATTTTCTTCCTAACACAGCTGGGAGCAGGCAAAGGTTACTACCAGAACTATTTACTTTGAGGCACAGCCCACTTCTGAGCTACAGACTAAGCACCTCAACATGTCAGGATCAAGTACAAACCTTAAAGAACCATTTCCCTTTGACACACATTTGCTTTTCAAGGCTTCTTTATCCCTAACATTCATTGTTTCACTGTCAGTCCCTCCCCCATCTCCTCCAGCTTCACAATGCAAGGAACCAACAGTTAAGTTTGGAAATCAGTCTGTGCAGGATGTGCAGCTCAAGCTGACAGTAAAGTTATACACATGTGGAGACCTGAAAGACAGGTTGTAGAATGGAAAAAAAAATTAAAACCATGTGGACATCAAAATCTAAGTCAAAGTTTTAACACAAAGTGCCAATGAATTACGCTGTGCCCAGAGAACAGATGAATAATCTTCCCCATGCCTCTCCATCTTTTCATTTGTCAAAGAAAAGTTATGAGACGGGAAGGAGGGTATAAAAGTATCAAGTAAATTATCTAACATTTGATTCGCAGGGTAAAGAGATGGCTGAGATTTTGCTCAGTCATTCTGTTTAGTGGGACATATTATTCCCAGCTAATCACAACAATTTTGTGTTGAATTCTCCTTTGAACTTAAAGCTGCAGCATCTGAAATTTTGGATAGACAAGTCTTTGCAAGACAACGCAGGAAGCAACCCAGTAGAGGGCGAAATTGCCGACTGACACCTAGTTACTAGTAAAGCCAAATGCCAGCAGGAGTTAAATATAAACCAAGGACACTCTGTGCAGTCTCTGCTGAGGATGAATATCTAACTTCTCTACACTTTGCCTGAGGGATATTAATTTTAGGATACAAGACTACCGTAGGATAAGACAAGAATCTTGCATCCCAAGATTAATTCCACTTAGCTGGGAAGTCAATGGGATTACTGAAAGTGAAACATACACCAAGCGCTTTGCTATATTGAGCTTTTAGTCCACCAAGCTAATTCAGTGCTTTCCTAGTCACCATGACCAAATAAATCTCTAGCTTTGGCTCTTCAGGTGAAGGGAATAAACTCAAAGTAGATGAGTCAAATTTGTAACTAGTACTGAAGAAAATGAGAAATTTTATAACTTATTCCAAAGAAAAATGGTTCCAGATCTCACTGTAGGCACAGAAACAGTAACTAACACAACCTACATTGGCATCTTTTACCGACACAGGCTTTTGCATCTCATCCATATTTAGAGATGCATAACGTCCTACCTGGGCTTCCTACAGATCTGCAAGAAAGAGCCGATGATTCTACCAAATGATAAGGTGTCATTTTTACTATGGAAAGTAAGAGAGAAACACATATAGCACATTTGATAGCTTACATAAAGTATATTTTTCTTTAATGAGACTCTAGGTTTACATTTCAAATGTATTCAATCACTTTGTGCTAAATGCTTGAGTTAAAAAACGGCAAGTTGTAAATTCCCAGAACTGATCACGGCTGAAGTATTCTGTAAAACATTACTACCATCCTATCTGTACAGCACAAATAAAAAAAAGGAGAGAAAGAAAATGGAGGTGCATGTGGTATACAAGTCAAACATTAAAAGCTCTCTTAAAATCATCACCAAAATATAGTACTTACATACAGCCTTTCACAAGCAGATTTGCAAAGGACATCTGTGAATCTCTCGTACATAATGAGTATGGAGAATTCCCAATATTCCCATTCATAAAAACGAACCTGTGACCATCTGTTAAATAACACTACCACGGTCATTATACAGGGCTTGGCATAATTAATGTGTTTAAAGAAATTATTTTTATTGCCAAAATCTTTAAGTAAACCTATCAATCCATTTTCATCCAAAGAACTCAAAATAACATAAAAAGATGAGTATTAAGAAAACACAAACTCTGACGATAGATGGTAAAGGAAAAACACCACGTAATTAACAGTGATCTTCTAATACCAAGCAGGTTTTTTATAAAAAGGTGACAAGAGCAAGTCTCCTTCCCTTTTTTGGGGAGTTTATGCCCCTGCTGGAGTACAGCAGTGTGTTGGAGGTTTCAGGAATG